GTTATTTGTTGCAACTTATGTTTATTTATACCGCATAAATAAAAGTTTTAAGCCTGGAATAAGTTCACACAAATTAATCAATTAAAAAAAAAAAAACCATGAAAATTTCAAGCTTACTAATCAAAAATTTTAGAAAATATGCGGAAAGTATGCGGTTTTGTAGCGCATTCAATTTTGTAAAATAAAATGCAAATTACAGGTCCCTAAAAATTACCGTTGATTTTTTAGAATTTTTTTTGTTGAGGGAGTTGTGCACTTTCCTCAATATAAAAAATTACCATATAAATTTTAGCTTGCAAAATATTGTTAATAAATAAAAAATAAATGGTGTACGCAGACTTTTTCTGCTATCTATAAAATCAATTTAACTTAAATTCATAGCGACCGATTTATACTGTACTACATGTGCATATATATATAAAAGTACATCTAGGAGTTTGTGGGTGTACGGTGGTCACCAAGTATTTCTTCCCAATTCATACAGCGACTGAGAGTGTATCAAACAATTTTTATTATACTAGAGCGCCAGTTACTGTCGAAATTCGACAGTTTTTCTGGTTTTAGAAGCCTTGGAGAGGTTTTCTAACTTAACACGTAGCGATACTTATACGGTACAAATTAACTAACCGGAAAATCTTCTGCTAACACGTAACTAATCTTCTTTTTTATCTGAGAAGGTCATTGAAGGACTTCAGCAGGACTTGGAATTGACCTGATACATTCAAGTTTATCGATAAATTTCAATGATTTGATACATATCGATAGTTCGATGAATTTCAAGAACACTAAAATTTGATAGCTCAACAAAATTCGTTAACTCGACCAATTTCGATAACTGTGAAATTCGATGGCTCGATAAATTTCGATAACTCAAAAATGTAAAAACTTTGGATACCTTTATAAATTTTTACTTTTGACATCTCCACATTTCTCGAAAACTATCTAAACAATTTGATAACTCGTTACACTCTGTTAAGACGATTAAATTCGATAAGCAGTGATAAATCGATAAACTTATATAACGTTGAAATTTCGATAAATCGATATATTTTGAAAATTCCATAAACTTTGCTTTGTTGAACCAACCAATTTCAGTAGATCAATAATTATAATTATGCATTACGACACCTCGATATATTTCGTTAAGTCTATAAATAATGATAATTCAATAAATATCGATAACTTGATACATTTCTTTATCTTGACAAATTTCGTTAATCCCACACGTTTTTATAGCTCGATAACTATCCGTAAATTTCGACAACTAAGTTTCTGTGTCTATAAATTTCGACAACTCAGTAAACATTGATCAGTTTGAATAATTCGATACGTTGCGATAACTTAATAAGCATGGATAAATTTCGATAACTATAAACTTCGATGATTCGATAAATTTCAGTAACCTTTATGGCTGATTTTATTTCGATTCCTATCTTTTAACCTAATTCTTATGCATTTCTCATTGTGTCCAATTTCGCCTTTATCTCAATTTTCGTCTTTATCTTCGCTTTTGCCTTTTTTTTTGTCTTCATCGTTATCACTTGTTTCTTCATCTTCATATTTATCTTTATTTCAAAGTTTAATTTCAAATACGAAGTAAAACAAAATGCGAAACGCTTGAATTGAACAGGTTGCAAAAACAACCGTTAACAAATATGGAAATTTTTAAGCGACGATTTTCAACCAATTTCGAAACTATAAAAACTCTCCTCATCTACAGAAAATTACTTTCCAACGGTGTTTCTGGTTTTGAAATCGGTAACTTTACCTTGGTCTTCATCTTTGTTTTTATCTTTCACATCTTTGCTTATATCCTTTTCTTTTTCTATTCACGTAGATGAGATGAGGTGCGATGACGTGATAAGATGTGACGTGATTTTATATGATGTGATAGGATGTCATGTCATGTGTTGTCATATCATCTGATGTCATGTCATATGATGTCATATCATGTGATGCCACGTCATGTAATGCCATGTCATGTCATACGATGTCATATCATGTGCTGTCGTATCATATAATGTCATGTCACATGATATCGTGTGATGCGATATCATATTATGTGATGCAAAATCATGTGATGTCCCTTCATATCATGTGATAAAATGAAATGTGATGTCATGTAATGTGATCACGTTCCATGTTCCGATTAGTGTATCGATAACCCTGTTGATAACTGTGTTGATAAAAATACCGATAACAATATCCATACACATATAGAAAAATACAACGATTGTAAAATCGATTAATTCAGCGATAAATATAACAATCATCAGTATCATAACAATATATGTAAATGACTAAATCGATAACAAAATCAATTATTTAATCGATTATTATACCGATAACAATATCCATTATTGTATCGATAACAATATCGATTATTATATTGATTATTATATCGATTACAATAGCGGTTCTTTAATCAATAACAGTATCGATAACAATATCGATTATTTTATCGATAGCAATATCGATTATTATATCGATAAAAATATCGAGTTTTATATCGATAACAATATCGATCTTCATCCTCATCCTTTTCTTCATATTTATCTTTATTT